TACTCCATACAAGTCCCAATGTTAACTTAGGATTACCGTCTACTATATCATTACTACTGATGTTTACCAATTTTATCTGCCAATTTAATAACAAATAAAAAACACATTAAAGTTAAAAATTAAATTAAAAATTAAAAGACTCCTCAGCCTATGGCTATATTTCAGACACGATTCACATTCTATTGTCGATCTGTAATTATTCAGATAACAGTGACTATAATATCTCATTAGTTCAATCGCTTTTAATTTATTGCGATCTTATGAATATAACAGATGGATTATTGGAATAAAAGAAATAAATTAATGTACGTATTCACAACATATTCATGATGGTCAATATCCATGCTGTATCATATAAAAACAATTACCAGTATTTTTTAAGCAATGATCAAGGTTTTATGACAGTCAAATTAGCGACATTTTGAAAGGGATTGGCGCTTAGACGAACATGAACCTGAAAATACAAATGTCCCAAAAGTGGGGGGTGGGCGCTAACGCAGTCAAGTACAGTAATAGGGTTCTTATTTTGTCAAGAACTGGGCACACGATGACTCTACTGCAACAGTTTCTACACAGGTTTTAACACGACCCAAATCAGGTTTAAAAATGTGAATGGAGTTAATATCAGTGTGAAAGAGAGTGGTGGCTAAAGTAGCCAATATTAGTGGGGTAATACTTACATTGTTTTGCTCTAAAACTTGTAATGCTTTATTAACATTATTGAGGTGATGAAGGCGCATACGACCCTTCTCCCTTTTCTGAAATAAAAATGTTGTATTACTCTGACATGTTATTGAAGATTAATCTTCCATTAGGTTATTTTTTTCAAATTCTGTTTTATGTATGTGCTAAAACAACTCATGAAAAAAGTACATAAACTATGATACTAAATTAGTAAAAAATTCCCGTTGAATAATTGCTTCGGTTCATGGGTCAAATCACTTGACCTGGCATACTGGGCAATACATAATAGCAGCTTCCTCCTCCTCCTCCTCCAAATATGGAC